TTCCTGGATGCAGAGCCATAGCTAACACTGACTGAGCTTGCGACTCTTGAACATGAAGACTCAGAGATGGATATTAGCGCACTTTGTAGATTCAGTAACTGAGGCACAGAGAAGCTAAGAAACTTGTCCAAGTCACCACAGCAAATAGGTGAAGGTCATGAGTGTGAACCCGGTCTGGCTTCTGAACCTGCTTGCCACCACACCAGGAGCTCTTTGCCTTTGTATGAACACACACCCCAGAACTCCACACTCCACAAATTCAGTCTGGAGAATTCTTTAGAGAGGAAAACTAAATTTGGCTGTTCTGTGGAAGATACTTAACATTGTTAAAAATTGGGGTGGGGAAGGGTTAATAAGAAAATAATGCTGGACCCTGGGCTGGTTTTTGTTAACCTCAGGGCAGTGATATCGTGAGGAGCTTCACTTGGTGTTGATTCTTTTGATAGATTATTCAGGTGTGATTTATTGAGGCAAATGTTTTGGGACCCAAACGAGCACTCCTTTCTTTTCTGCTCAACTTCACTCGCCACCACTTCCAGCCCCATTTTATTTGTCAAGTATTATTTATTGTCTAGAAGATTCAGGTGTTTTGCATGAGGCCAGGATGAATTCTTCCAGCAGGGAAGTCAGCTGGTGACCCCGACTGATAAGACTCTAGACCAAAGGGGGTATAAGAGTTAGAAGCCCAATCACAAAACAGTAAGTAAAAACTCTAATTAATAAGAATTGCACAATAAACATAGGCCGATGACTATTTTATTAAAGCAATATGGAGCACAACTAGAGGCCGCTGTGTTCTGGAATGTGGGAAGTTGGTTGAAATTGTTTTTCTCTTGTGATTCCCATGTTAAGCTGTTCACAGCAGGATTGCTCCGTTTTTGTTATTTAAATGAGTAGGTGTTTGCTATGTTATATTCTTTTTAAATTCTTGACCTTAAACTCAATCTTGGTATTTTCAGCAATTATTTACTACGCAGGGGCAAACTTTAGATTTAGGGGAGAAGTCAGTATTTTCATTTTATGTGGTGTTGGGAGGGGAAGTGATCATTTTGCATTGCTTTAAAGAAAATGAACAACTTAACCCTTTTTTGGATACAATTTTCTATTAGAATGAAGTGTGGTGTGTTTTGGTGATGATAATTAATATAATAGCCATGGAGTCTCTAGACAATTAGAAGGACAGAATTTTTCTTTAAAAGTTCAAGTAGCTTATGCCTGCAGCCTCAGCAGTGCCGGTTTGATCCCCAGCTGCTCCCCGGCCACGGGAGGAGGGTCCCACATGGCGCGCAGACCTCTCCTGCCGCCCGCTGCTCCCCTCAGCAGTGTCCTTCGGTCCTTCTGCCTGCTCTGCTCCCCGCTCTGGCTCTGGTGAATTCTCTCACCCTCCCGCGCTTCTGACTGTACCCAGTGCTTGTAGAAATAAATAAATAAATAAATAAATAAATAAATAAATAAATAAATAAATCTTAAAAAAAAGTTCAAGTAGCTTAAATGGTATCTATCTCCACACATGTCCTTTTACTGCAGGTAAACTCAGTGGGCATGTGTGTGTGTGTGTGTGTGTGTGTGTGTGTGTGTATCTACGCTGGTGGTTTGAACTCAAAATAGAAAAGAATGTAAATATTTTCAGTTGTTTATAGGCAGTCATCTGCTATGGACAAGAGTTTGAAGTTTTCTTTCTTACTTTTATCTTTCCATCACCCTAAACTTTGGCCTATTCCTGGCCAAGCCCTAAGTCAAAGCCAGCCCCTACGTCCAGTATGAATGCAGCTGGTAAAGGTATGAAAATTCCTTTGGAACTAGAATAGTTTCTCTCCCAAGCAGAACAATTCATTGATTTGAACTCTGTGTCCATCTGTTTTAAAAGAAACCAAGAGGAAAACCATTTTGGTGTGTGTGATTCAACCAGAGGAAAAGAGGGACACTTCAACCATTCCTAGAAAACCCCCTTCCAAGACCATGATTCCTGGAATGCCTGGGCATAATTGATCTTTAGCTTGGAATCTATGATTGAATTCCTAGACATATATTTATGCCCCAGGGGAAAATTATGCACACTGAACCCCTCACCAACAATGACAGAATAAGATCAGAGCCTATTTCAGATGTATTAGTGACGTGGCAATGGTTCTGGCGAGATGAGAGCTTCTGGGAGATGGTTTGCACCACTCCATCTGTTTCTTTAGCTTAATTTTAAAGACATAGCAAGCTTTGTAGTGCTCTCCTTTTTTCTCACTGATCTAAGAATTCCTTAGCTTTAAGCTTGGGTTTCCATCGTGGTCAGGGCTGCTACTTGTTTCAGCCTGGACTTTGACTCTTAGTCATTACCGTTTCCTGATTTTCTTCCAGATTTGGTGCAAATATACAAACCATTGGACAGCCAACTAAACCTGGGTCCCGATGAATCAGAAACACTCTGTTTTATTCAGTTTGCATCACCTGTGTTGCACTACGTGGTGTCAGCCACTCACATTTGTCTGTCAGAATTTCCTCAGCTGCAGCAGTTTGCCACAGTTGGGAGAGTCTGAGGTGGCTGGCTATGAAACTTCCAGAATAACAATCTCAACGCCAGTGTAACTTATTGATATGTTGTTAGGGAGACTATGTCTACATATTAGACATAAATATAGGTTAACAAAGAGAAGTGATAGCCAAGAGCAGAAACGAAGAATTAGAATAAGGCACAAGAGCCTTATTTCCTCCAAATTGCTAAGGCAACACACCTCACTGATGAGGTGAGTGTAACTATGTGCCCCATAGAAGAATACCATGAAATGATTGTATTAAAAGCACATGCTTGGGAATTTAAGACACAAGTTTCAGTTTCTCATAACTCCCGCCTTTGCAGTACCTCTCCACAGCCAGGAGTCTTCAGAGCGCAAAGCCTTACTTGTTCTCTGTACATTAAGAATGTGATTTGACAGATCATGTGCATATAGTTTGAATTTCTATAAAAGGAGCATTGTTTTATCAATGACTTCCTCAAATAAGGAATCCTCCTAGATCAGAAAAATTGAAAGCAAACCCCAATCTGACTTCAAAGTTTGTGTTCTTTCCAATATCACTCCAAATGACATCAGTTATATATATATATATATATATATAAATGTATATATATATTTATATATATTTATATAAATATATATGTATATATATATATAAAAATAGAGAGAGAGACAGAGAGAGGAGAGCAATCTTTCTCCCCAGCAGCTCCTCCTCTCTTAGCAGACATCCTTTTAGTTCTATTCCTTGTCCGGTTCCACCACCACCCAGCCCTAAAACAGCCACTGACGAAGGGAGTAGAGGTATGGTCATTGGCATGAGCATTGATGGGTTTTGGGGGGCAGAGTAGAGGACTCTTCTCTCCTGAGTTCATGGAAGGCCAGATGCTGGGATTGAATTCCAGCTCTGACAACAGCTAGCTGATGATGTCGCCATAGTCCCCAGAGCACTTTGACTCTGCTTCTGTCATAGTGTCACACGATCAGGCCTTCTCTTATTGTTTGTGAGCTTATTGTAGGATTCTAGACTCTGTAAGGATGGGAACTTACTATATTTACCAGGACATGGAACAGTGCCTTGCCCTCAGGGATGGTTAATATATATTTACTGAATTGATTAGAATTGGTCCACATCAGTTGATTAAAAGTTTTACCTTTTTGATTGAATCTGTGTTCTTTAAAATTAAATTGTTTGTTTGAATCTCGACACCCTCCTAGTAAAGTTATGTTTATTCATTCCAGAAAATGATTAAGGGGCCTTCATCCTAAAGGTACTGGAATAAAGTTACTGTGGGTGCTTTGTAATATAAACCCTGCAAAGACTGTTTACAATTCTGTGTGGGTGTAGGAGGAAAAAAGGATTCAAATGTAAATATGAGTGGGAAAGAAAACTTGTTTTGAGTCCCTTTTATGCATCTGTTACCATTTTGAAGATTGCATAGTAGAATTTATCATGTTAAAGATTATGAAGTAAAAGAAATGACTTGTATATACAATCACTATGATTCTCTATTTGAAGATCCATTTAATAAAAGATTATTTTAGGAAAAATAATTACTTTGATAACATAAAATTCAGTACATCACATAATTTCATTAGAAAAATCTTTTTCAGTAGGGTGCGATCAAAAGACCGAATTTTGGTTACTAATGTGGTATAAAGTTTAAAGCCAGTGTTTCAAGTCTTAATTTGTTTTGCAGTATAAATACTTCTCAAGAGCTTATCTTTTCGATGTAAAGAATTCTTCATATAAACTTCCCTTGATTTGCTTCAGGTTCAGTGACTGTACATGTTCATAATTTTCTTTTTTTTCTTTTTTTTTTTTTTTATAGAGGCATGTTTTTATTTATTTATTTATTTGTTTGTTTTGTTTTTTGTTTATACATGCACTGGGTACAGTCAGAAGCGTGGGAGGGTGAGAGAATTCACCAGAGCCAGAGCGGGGAGCAGAGCAGGCAGAAGGACCGAAGTACACTGCTGAGGGGAGCAGCGGGCGGCAGGAGAGGTCTGCGTGCCATGTGGGACCCTCCTCCGGTGGCCGGGGAGCAGCCGGGGATCGAACCGGCGCTGCAGAGGCCGCGGGCAGCTTCGCAACCCAGCGCTCAACCGCTGCGCCACCGGGGAGGCCCTTCATAATTTTCACTTTATGAATTATTATAAGTAATGCCTAAACTTCCATTTTTTAAGATTTGAGATACTATCACTAAAATTTTCTCTAGAAGGAACTGTAGTCCTCCATTGCCTGCCAAATGGCCAACTTGTAGGTGCACACGAGCAGTTCCTACCTTTTCAAGACTAGCCATTTATAATGTGTTCTCTCAAGTGACGTGACATTCGAAGTTTAATTCAACACAAACACAGGAATGATTTTTTAAGCATTTTTATTATTTGCTAATGGTACTCATTTTTCATTACAGAATTTACTAAGTAAAGTGATGGTAGGCACAAGTCATTATGTTCTTGTGTCTTTCTGAAAGCAACTGGAATATCTACTTCTGTTGTCTTCTTGCTTTCTGATCTTTTAGTCCTGAAAAAAAAATAGAAAAGGGACAATTAAAATGATTGACAAATATTTCCGGTACTACCATTTACAATAACACATATGGTTTCGGTTTTACCAAAACAATGTACAACCATTTAAGTGGAACCCTGTGATTTTCAAAGTTTTTTGGTCATCACTTTGTCTTTAGATGCGAGGGGGCCCCTAAGGGAGGGGGCTGCCTTCAGGACTCTTACAATTTATTAGTTAATAATAAAACAACTATCAACAATTGTTACCTTTTATTGTGTTCTTACTGCATAGCAGGCTCTGAGCTCATTACTTCTTTATTTTATTTTCCAGAAAACAACTGTAACAATCTGTCAGTACTTATATTTTAATTTTACACAGGGGTTTTAAAGGGTTCAAACTATCTGCCTGAAGTCACCTTTGCATAAATAGCTCTGGCAAGATGTGAACACATTGTAAAGTTCATGTCCTTTATTACTCATAAAGAGATAAACACATTTTCTGTACAAAAAGGGGACATGTCCCTTAGGCTAGAATAATCAACTCTAGGTACCAAATTACTTAAGATAAAGTCAGTTTTCAAAAATTCTTATGAGCATAACTATGTCCTAATGATGAAACCATATATGACATATAGTATCGTTTATTATTGGGAAACTATGGTATTTGTGCTTGGACAGAGGCTTGAAAATTATCTGATATAGTGATTTTCTTTTACTTAAAAGAAGGGAAACACTCATAAATGTGAAGTAACTTGTACAATACCATCTTCATTTTGGGACAAAGCTAGAACTGGATTCCAGGTGTCCTGGCTCCCCTTCCAGGTCATTTCCACCTTACTGCTTTTCAGAAGCAAATTATCAATAGCATTTATAACCTGGAATTACATTTGGACACATACATCAAGTAGAACTACATGATCTCAGACACACAGAATTAAGGGTCTATGCATACAGATAAGGGTCATTTGTCTTATTGACTAGTCCTCATTCGTTGGGAAGAGTTTACTCTAATGTAAGAGGATTTTGTGTGTAATTAGGAAAACTTCTCACTAGAAAGTTAATCAAGAGTCCCAGCACTGAGCAGGAATCTAATGGTCTGTCCAGTTTAGCTTCCTCCAAGTTTAATTAAAAATCACTTTAGGCAAGAAATCTTCCTGTAAGTGTTTTAAAAAGATTTCCCACCTGCCTTTGGTAGCCTGTTCAAATATTTGCATCCCCTCAAATATGATTTTTTTTTTTTAGCTTCAGTGCAATTCTAACCTATTCCTGTTAGTTAAACCCTTGAAAGAGGAGGGGAACTGATAGTTCCTTATGCTGCTGCCCTTGAAATTAGTGGATTTTCTATATATATAAATGTAAATATATATATAGATAGATAGATATAAAATCTGGTAGAAATTCAAAATAATTGTAGAATTTAAGCCCACTCTAAAAGCTGTGTTCCTAAGTACTGACCTCTGTAGATAAACTCATTTATTTATCCTATCCAGTTTAACCTTGAAGTTATTATATTTAAATTGTATTATTTAAAGTTATAATACAAGCACATGCTTGGGCGAATAGAGTCATTGGCCTGTAGCTATGGAAACTCTTGCCCCTGGATTGCTTGAGAACTTGGGGGTCAATTTTTGGCATTTCACAGGAGTTGTAGTGGCTTCAAGGTCTACTCACCACTTCTTCGCGCTTGGTCTTGTCCGTTGAGGGCCAGGCTTCCAGAGGCAGATCAGGAAGAAGGGGGGGCATGGGCTGCATGGGGAACATCGGATGCAGAGGTGGCTGTGGCGGCAGGGGCTGGATGGGGTGCATGGGTGGTTGGGGCTGCATGGGCTGGTGAGGCTGCGGCTGGACGTGCTGGGGCTGGTAGGGCTGCTGGGCGGGTGCGGGGAGGTTGGGCTGGTGGTGTTGGGTTGGAGTTATGGAGTGTTGGCCGGGAACGGGCATCATTGGTTGCTGGGGGACCACGGGTTGCTGAGCTGGCACCATGGGGATGTGGTGATGAGGCTGCAGGGCGTGATTCGGGGGATTCTGCTGGGACAGCACGGGAATGATTTGGTGGTGCAGCCATCCACCCATGGGTTCGTAACCATAGGAAGGGTACTGGTGAGAAACAAAGAGTCAGGTTTTACCATCGGCTCCATCGACTTCCAGCTGGAGCACCAGCTGTGTCGTCTTTGTCATTATGGCAACAGGAACATCCATTTTTTTTCTGTGCAAGAATTTCTAACTGCACAGAAATGGCCCTTTCCAAACTAGATTCCCATCTGTGTCTGTATGTGGCATAGGCGTGCTACTTCACTTAAAGGGGAGTCAAAATGCTCGCTTAAAGGACTAAGAACAAAATATTTTAAAGGACTAAACGAAATATCTACATACCGGAGGCCTTATCATGTTCTGGTACCACTTCAGCGGGGTGAGCACCTTAAGAAAAGGAGACATTAGAATATATTTGTGTTGATTCCGTTGCATGAAATTGAGATCCACTCACTCACTCACTCACTTTGCAGTCCTGGCAAAGTCGATAGCCTGAAAGTTGATAGCTCTACAGAAGAAAGAATCAGGAACACATCTGTCACATGCTTCCTGTGTGTGAGGCACTTCATTCCAGCCGTCACACACACTTTCCATGTTTTTGCACACTCTGAGGCCAGTATCACTGCCCTCACTTTTACAGGCGAGGTCGTGGAGTTAAAGAAGCTCATGAGCATGACTGAGGTCATAGAAGTTGTAATTCTGTTTTATTTCACAGTTCCTGCTCCTCTTTGCGAGAGCAAAATGAAGCAGAAATAGCATGACTTACGTTCTTTTGTATTTGATACCACCGTGAAAAATGAAAGGGGACACAAGACAGTCCCTCGTCCCACAGATGGGTTTTCTGGGCAAATATGTCAACCTTTGAGGGTTTAACAGGATATCTGGCCTCAAATTCTCATTAACATTTTTGTCCCAGCTTGGATGACTGAGCAGACTCATAGGGCATCATGTGAGCCTATGGGAGAAACGAGCTTCCCTCCTTTCCAAGCAGTAGGTCAGCCTGGGTCTAGCGACTCCCTTCATAGCATAGCAGAGCATTTGGAATCAACACGACAATCACTAAATTTGCTCATGCTCTATGTGACAACGCACCTCTTAGGGTGCTTGACTCTTTTGTTCCCCAAACAAAATTTTGAAGTGTGGGTATTACAATTATTTCCCTTTTCCAGATGAGGAAACCAAAGTTTCAGAGAGAACATCATTAGCCCGAGGTCACGTGGTTAGTATGGGATAGAGGAGATCCTCAAACAGATTTCCAAGATTCTCTGCTTTCTCTTGCTCTGCAGGATGCTGCAAGACCACTTGCTCACCAATCTTTTAGTAAGGACATGGGAGGGACAGACTTAGAGTGTGAACACCATGGACTCGGTTGTTGGGAAGGATCTGGAATGACCTCTTAGCTGATCCCACACTTCGTGGCTGGGGTAGAGCAACGCTGCTCAGCCACAGTTCACCTTCTGCTCTTCCGGCAAGCCCCGGAAGTGGTGGTTCCCGGCAGATAATTTTATAGCCATATAAAGAGAAGAGACTGAGTCAGAGAGACCAGGTAGGAGTGTGCTGGGGCAGTGTGGGCTTGAGGTGACCCCTATGGCTTAAAATAGAAAGCTGGTTGAGGGACTGAGAAACATCTTGAATGGAGAATCAACACACTATTCTTTAGAGAGCTCAGGGCATTGTTCACTCAAACAATGGTCAAAATGAGTAAAGAGAAAAATTACCTCATAGCTGAAGTTGATATAACCAGGGTGCCCAGGATGAGGTGGTAGCTTTTATAGGAAGGAGAAAAGAGAAGAAGATGAGAGAAGGGGGGAGAAGGAGAGGGAGAGAGAAAGAGAGAAAGGAAGAGATTATGTCAATACGCAATTGTTCACATCGAGAGAGACTAAAGCTACTTAAAAAAAAATCATCGTAGTGCAGAATATACCTGAGGTCTACTTTCAGTTTGAATGTGTACCCTGTGTAGGAGAGGGACCCTCTTATTTTAAAGAGGTCCAGAACAACTAAATGACTTTCTAGGGTTGGGGGGGGGGGGTTATGGTCTTATGGTAGGAGACCTGTAAACAGGAACCAGCACTCTTATTCTCCAGTGGTCTCTGGACTCCCCCTGTGCCGTGTCCTTGATTCACCCTGCCCTGTCCCAGCCACCATTTTACTTCTTGATGAAGCTCACTCCATGTTGGGGAGAGAGGGGTGTTTCTCTTACACGATTATGAAATACCAACAAGAGGAGAATTGTCTCCTATACCTTCCCTTCTAATCAGGAGGTGCCTACCTATTCCTCGGGATTGCATGCAAAGCACCTCGACAGCAACAACAGGAGCAGCTAGGTCTGACTGAGGGGGAAGGTGAGAACAGGCTGGGGCAGTGCAGTGGAGATATCGTAGTTCCCACAGACAGTGAAAGAGTTATGTTTTGAAGTCTAAGCCAGTTCTTTTTATTATTCTGTCAACATTTTTACGGCAGAAGAATTTAAAATTTCAAAGTCAAAAACAACCTGAATAATTATCTAAATCAGGACTGAATGTCCCTTCAAACGTGGAGGCTAAGTGACTGATGTCTGCATTGTGGAATTCTAGAAAGGGGGAGAGGGAGGAGAGCAATCGGCAGCACTTCTCCCTGAGACACCGAGCTAATTAGGCTCTATTCTTCCTAAACGCTTGTGTTTTATCAGAGGGCTTGTTCACTCTCATCTGATTGTGAATCATTTTAGTCAGGAACTGCCTTTTCTATGCTGTCTTGATATGCACCCTCGGAGAGAGGGCATGCTGAGTGGAGGAGGGGAGTGGAGTAAGGGCTGCATTTGTCATGGGGCGGCCCCTCCGGGGACTAGGAATTGGCTAGTGCAGACCCCCGTGCAGAGTTTCAGGAAGGCTGAGCAGAATCTGGTTGTTGTGGGCGAGAGGAAGAAAGAGGCAGCCATGCAAGCTTTGCTGGCTTCTGGTTGTATCAGCTGCTCTCCGTGCCACTGAAACGCAGGTGGAGCCTGCCCTGCCTGCCTGGACCGCAGCTGTGTCTAGAGAGAAAGGGTCATGCTTCCTGGTGGTACATCTGCAGGTAAATTCTGTCCGTAGGTATTGGGCGTAAGCCCAGCCATCCAGACAGAAGTTGTGTGCTTAGCAGGTGCTCCCAAAGGGCGAGGCCTCTGACAACAGGGGATGGTTCGAGATGGGACTCGGGAACAGAAATTTTACCCTCTGGCAGGTAAAATTTAGAAACAGAGACTTGGAAACTGGTGAGAAACTGGGTTTTAGAGAAAACAGGTAGTTTGTAGTATTTACCCAAGGCTGATTAAGCACTTGGTCCGGAGACCTTTCAAGGGTCCCTTCTGAAAGTTTCCTCCATCTAGAGATGGGCAATGAGTTATACAAGCTAATTGTGCCCACAGAATCTGCTGGGGTGATTGTTAAAATGCATTTCCTGGGCCCCACCCCAGCTCTACTGAATCAGAATCTGGGAACCCACTTTAAAAAAAAAAAAAACAAAAACCAGCAAGCTCCTTAAGCATTTCTTAAACACAGATATGTCGAGGACATCTCATCCTATGCTGTTTAAACCCTAAAGTTTAGCAAAGAAAGGGCAGAATTTTCTTTCCAAGCATGTGAAATGGAACACTGGCTTCTGCAGGGGGGTATTCTACTTACAGGCATAGAGAAAGCTGCTCCTAGCAGGCAGGCAAATAAAATCCAGGTCCCCATATCTCGACAGCCCTGAAATAGAAGAAATGGACATTATATTCCATAAGACCCACATAATCCACATTAGTCTGCTGTTAGTAGAAAAGACGAGGCTGTCCTCTGTGAGATCATTTCATCCCTCTGTGATTTCCAGTTCTCAGCCCATGTCCTGGCTCCTGGCATGACGATAGCGATTAAGGTGCTTTCTGTTTAGGTTAGAGCCGAACAAGCTCTAAGGACACAACCCATCAAGCCATCGCTTTGCAGGCCCTTTCCCTATACCAGTCCCTTCTGGAGAGTTACAGAAGCTCAATGAAGTTTAGAGTAAATGATTTAAAACACAGAAAAAACAGAGCCAGCTCTGAAAGTTGAGATCATCAGGGAGCCTGGTATTTTATACTTTTAGAATCAAGAAGCAGGAAAATGCTTTTGTGCAGTCATCTGGACACGACTACTGCTAAAATCAAAGACTAATGAAATCATCTGAGAAAAGACATTAGGTTGCTTGCCAAAATGGAGTAAGTGCTGATCAGTGGCACTTCAAGTAGTATCTCTGCAGGAGTGGAGTAGAACACCGGCCGAATGGAAGGGGGCGGCTGGTGCTGATAATCTGATTACTCCGTGAATTTTGAATACCTTCCACTTAAAAGAGCCCGCATGTAGTCAATAGCATCTTCCTTTCATTTGATGCTGCCGTTGTATTTATTCCACTAATAAGACCCTTGGGACATGAAGCCAAACAGGCCAGCCTAAAATATGCACATTGCTTTGGGCTGCAATTATTGACTAACTTTGAAAACTGTCAGAAGACCTTAAATTGTGCATCGATGGTGAGCATCCTGTGTGCACCGGCTCTGAGAAGTACACTGAATGTTCCTACCCATTTAGTCTGCTTTTTTAAAGGTTGAGTTAATGAGAAAATGCATTTTGTTGATGGCTCTATTGAGAAATTAAATAAAATGCTTTTCAAAGGAGTGGCTCGCAGCCTGTGCAAGAATTATTTTTACTTAAGCTGGTAAGTAAATAAAATGCTTTGCAGTGAGATTTGGCCCCCCAAAATGCTTGGGATTCTGATCTAAAATTTAAACAAAACAAATATAGACAAAACATTTCACTGGCATTACAAAGTGAGATAATTCATTTAAGTAATCAGAGTCTAATTTAATTCTGGCCCAACAGAAGGACTAACTGAATATCGACAGCAGCAAGTATTAGCAATGCAGACTACATGTGCATATTTTGAATATGAAATGCAGAAAAGGAAATAAGGATAACGAAAAAGAATACCAAATGATAAATAAAATCCACATACCTGTGAATGCTCGTATTCAGAATAAGTTTCTGTCTGAAACTCAGGGATGTTTGATCCTATAGATTTCTTCCAACTAAAAGCTCAATTTATATCATTCATGGCATCTAGAACAACCAATCGGGTTTCTGAAAGTAAAATTGTTGAGTAGAGTGAAAAATCCCTGTATCATGAATTTTTCGAAGCTGCGTTCAAGCATGAGGCCGTATGTTGTCATTAGTGCACACGGAGCCTTTCATTACGGGCAATAATAGGTTCAAGAGGCGAAAAGTTTCATCAGGCTGTTTTGAAGTCAGCAAGATATTTGACTGCACATGCTGATTCAAATGGACTCTTCAGAAGTGGCAATGGCATTGTCTGATCACTGGTCCTAGCAAACATAATATTTTTCTTCCTCTCCCCATTCCAAATGTTAGATGGTTGAGTTTCTCTGGTGTGATCAAGATGTCCTTGAGCATTCTCCACTTGTTTCGGATCTGGAAAAATTGATTGAAACCCCGATTCTGGTGAAACCTCAAAAGGACTCCCCGATATCTATCTGAGGGTTTACAATTTTGGGATCCCCACTGCTCTACTTTCTACTTCCACTGAAGGTAATCTCTCCATTTCCTGTGGCTATTCCTTTGTCATCATTCTGGTGTCTAGCGAAAGAGGGGACACAGTCCCTTCTCCTTAGCCCCATCCTGCAACCCATCTGCCATCCATGCAACCATGAATTCAAGGTTGTTACAGTAGCTCAGGTCTTATTGGTGATCTGAACAAGGAACTACCTGAACAAGGCAAGGAGCATATCGTGTGCTAGACTGCACACCTAAAAAAGGTACTTCAATTCTTGCAAACAAAGATGCGTCCCAGGAAATATTGCCCTGGCTCCCCCACCCCATAAAGCTGCCCAGCCTCTCACCATAGGATGGCCCTTCGTTGTCCACATCCTTCTGGCACAACCCCACTGTCTCCTATAAGAAAATCCAAATTCCTGTGTCATTCTTTCTCAGCGCCTCTTAACTGTCAACTAAGTTGAATTGTTCCCATGTTCTCCGCAGCCTAAGCAGCAACAACTGAAACGCTGCCCTAAGGGGACCTCTGATCTAGCTGTTAAATTTGCGTGTCTTTTAAGGCTTTCCTTTAGTAAAGCACATGGACTTTTTTCTTTCATTCAACTAAGAAGCCAATTTGTAATTAGTGATGAGGTAGCCGATGAGTTGTCTATTAATATTTTATCATTGAAGGAAATACCGACTCTATCTCCAGATGCTACTGGCAGCATAACTGGATTGCTTTGACTGCCTAACCACCATTTTCAAGGTTTGTACATGTACCTATACCTATACTTTTATATAGGTGCTCTATAGTGGCTGCATTAAATTCCAGAAGAAAATATCCCTGACAGGTGATGCAGTATTAAGAGCTAGAGCTTAGACGTCCATGGGCCCTGACCACAGCTTCACCAAGGCTTGCAGGACCATTGACAAGATACTTCTTAGCCTGCCTGGGCCTCAGCTTCCTCCTCAGTAAAATGGAGATAATACTAGAACCTACCTAGAAGATTAGTGTGAAAACTGAATGAGAGATGAGACCTCTCTGGGGGAAATGGATTTACACCCTCCTCAACCCCAACACTTGGCACACAGTTAAGTGTTTAGAAGTACTGATAAATACAATTTTAACATGCTCTATAGGGATGAATTAGTAGAGAATGAATAATCATTGCAAAGAAAGGTAGACCTTTGGATCAGAGAGCAGGAAAAGTTGAGGGAGAGGGAAGCGGAAGGTGATGGCAGGTAAGATATGTATGAATGAAACTGAACACAGAGAAAGGTTTCAAAAACCAGTTGTCGCCAAGGTTTGTATTTATTCATGAGTATATTTAGCGGTGAATTGTATGTCAGAGACAAGAAGGAGTCTCTTTGAAAGAAGTTGCAAAATTAATTCTAGAACTGGCATCTGCTTCATTGGAGGAGGTGGGACTGTACAGTAAGCTGGTGAAGGAGGTTAGGAGGGAGAGGAAAGGAAATGTAGATCATATTATATTTCAATCTTATTTCCCATTTTATTTAATCACATATTGGAATACCTGAAAGGAATCAGGGTCTATTTTCCCTACAAAAGTGTGGGTAATCTCTACTGGGATGTCGTTGATGAATTTCTAGTGATCTTGTAGTTTTACAAAATTTATCTCATTATTTTCTCTCCCCTTTCAAGCAGACTATTGTATTTGGCTGCATTCAGAAGCGGAATGCTTCCTCACTGTGGCAATAATCCCCCTGGTCCACTGGATTGTGAGTTACTGCTAATTCCCTGTGTCAATTGTCCATACTTTGATGGGAAATAGAATAGAGAGGATGTGAATCTTCCATTTATTTTCTCCCACTGTGTAGCCAGAGTCATGGGTGTTAAATATGGATCTCTCTGTGTAAATCTCTTCCACTAACTTAGCTCCTACTTGTGCAGTTTAAAAATCACTCAGTGTCTTGGGGGAAAAACCAAAATTTCAATTGCAAAATGTTCCTGTAAACAGTTTTTTCATTTATGAATAAGCTGACTTTATAAAAGAAAACAGAATTTAGTAGATTGACTACTTATTGTGTTATGTAGAGGCTACAGCAGTTCCAAAGCATTTGTGGTCTTATTTTTCTTGCTCTTTGAGGTCAAATATTTCCTTCTCTTTATAAAAAAAAAAAACATTTTAAAAATGGATCATAAGCATAAAACATTTTCCTCGATGGCAATATCTTTACCACAATTGCCAATCTTTACCACAATGAAGACTGTGTCTTCATTCACTTAGGCATTCATTCTAAACACGCATGGCAAATACCTGTTATCCTGACACCGTTTTTGTGACTGTAGGGGACACATACTGTTTCTGAAAGCTTTCCTCCAAAACGATGACTGAAAAAATGCCATTATGAATCATAGCTTCCCATTCTTGCTTACTGGGAAGGAGGAGGGGCCAAGAAAAGGTTATAAAAATATCACATTCAGGGTGCTTTCTGGCATAGAAACCACTGCTCTAAGTCCCTCCTGAGGCCTGGAGGCTCAAGCAGGACTGCAAGACCTGGAATTCATGTGGAAGGACGTCAGGTTGGGGCATAAACGAACAACCAGAGAATTCCTCCCTCCCAGTGGTCAGATGAGAAAAGCATGCTTAATTCCCAGGCAGCTAGAACCTGACCCATCACCATTACACCTCCTGGCCTTGGCCCAATCAAATCCTTCCCATGAAGAACAGCTCTGGTGGGCCAGAGTCACAGCAGTCAAGAGCTCTGAGAAGGAAGCGTATCTTACATGCCCTCCACCCCTGCAGGGCCTGGCCTCAGACAAACAGTAGGTGCTCCACAACAACCACCACAACAAATTGGATATACCCCCTTAATATATATATATATATTTTTTTTTAACCATTTAATATATAATTTATTATTGTAAATAAAGACTTTTATATGGTGCTTTATAATTTTACAAAAGTTCTTCTGACCATGTTTTTGGTAATAGTGATTCCTTTTCTTCATCCCATTTTGCTGCTCCCACATTGTTTATGCTAGCAACTTCTCCCTTCTAAATTGCTGCTTCTGGTTTACAGAAAATCAAGTGTTGGAAAATCAAGTGCCAGGCTTGAGAAGTATGTGTGGACTGCAGTAAGGGATGTCCCATGCAGGGCTGACCTGGGAGGATTCACCTGTGAGAGAAGCTAGGACATTTCAGTTCTGTTTCATTGACTCTTGGCTGCTGGGAGGATGTTTCATTTTGTTTTAGGTT